AGATTTTCAAAAAATAGCATTACAAAAATTAATAATCGCCTTAATTCACATGCATATATGCGTATGTGCGCACGTATATATATATATATATATATATATATATATATATATATATATATATATATATATATATATATATGTAAAAGAAAGGCGATCAACAATATATATGTATATATATATATATATATATATATATAAAAAGAAGGGCGATCATACGCACATGCACACATACATCGACATACTCACGCATATACACGCATACACATACAGAGAAAAACACACACGCATATATATGTTTACGCAAACTTCTGTGAAAAACACACACACACACATACACACATATACATATATATGTGCATGTATCCACTTGCATACCCTTACCAGCACAAACACACACAATAAATCACTTATTTAAGCATATATATGTATGCGTATCCACATGCACGCAAATGTATACATCCCCAATTAGGACACACAGATACACACACATATATACATGCGTGCCCACATGCACGCACTTACAAAACTCCTTACACGCCCCCATATATATATATATATATATATATATATATATATATAGTTAAAAATAAGGATTACATCCGACAGAATAAGGAAGTCGTTACAAATTTGACATGTTTCCCTGATAAAGCTAAATTGCGTGACATAACATGTTAAATATATAAAGGTTTCCTATTTGTTTCTTATTCAATTATATATATATATATATATATATATATATATATATATATATATATATATATATATATATATGGGGAAATGTCGGACAAGACGCAATGTTTTGTGGCGTGTTTCACCCTTTAGGACTTTATCAGACTAAATTGGTTATCACATGACGAAATGAGTCACTAGAAAACAAGAAAATTTTCCCGCAATATTGTTCCTAATATATAAAATATATATCTTTATCTCATATATATATATATATATATATATATATATATATATATATATATATATATATATGCAGACATGCACACATACACACGAACATACATATATCAATATATCAGCCGCATGTACTGAAACTTTATTCTATGTCGTCCACATGTATTTATTGATATAAATATACGAATCTAAAGATCGATTAATAATCGATATATATACCGGTAAACATTTCGTGGGTGGGTGGGATGCAAACTTGAACATCGAGATAAATTGTGATAAATAATAGCGGTACATGTACGAATCTTCGATATGTGAATATCCCGTTCCAGATATATTCTGTATCATATTCGGCCAGTGTCTTCTGCATCGCTGCCAGCATATCGTTATACAACGTCCTCGCCGATACATTCCTGACCCTCATACCACAGGCATAAATAAGAACAGGCAACATATTTTTCAGTTTTTCCGTTCTTTCGCAACTTCTGCAACCAGAATTTCCAAGTCCAATAGAATCACCTGACCGGATACTACGGCCTTATATGAGAAGAGGAGTTGGGCACCCCAAGGCGGTGTTATGGTTAGTAAGCATGTCTCGCTAGAACAATTACGACTGAGTAGCGTGTTCGATCTTCACTGGGTGACCCATACTTTCGGTCTTGTGCCACATCTAAGTTACGCTTGGAAAATCACTATATCAGAAGAGAAGTCGCGAGAAATTGCGATACTGGAAAGAGGGTGTCATGTATCGTCCAGATTGTTGTGTTCGTTACAATCAAGATGAAACAATATTTCCAATATGAAATTACGTAAGAAATCTTCATCTGAGAACACAATACTAGAAGTGAAGATGAGGACCGAACTATGCAAAAATGCAAAAGCATAATATCTCAGAATGTCAAAAATAACGAACAAATGTTTTGATTTGTAGATTCTTACATGTAAATTTTTCTTAAATTTGAAAGGATATATATATATATATATATATATATATATATATATATATATATATATATATATATACCTGGTTTTACGTTTCCTGTGTGGATAGAACCTCGTTATAACGAAGTTTAATATTGCAGGAAAATGGCAGTCAAAATCACAAAGAAATCCCAAATTAGGGGTTCCTATGAAAAAGGCGGAGCAGTCAACCTATGTTGACTTTTTTTATTTTAATAAAAATTTAACAAAACCACGAGTAGTAATTTTATTTATTTATCTATATTTTGTATTTTTCATTTTTTTAAATTTTAGTTTAGTTTATCATTTCAGGTGACAAAGCCACTAAGACTCAGGTGGATACTGAGGAGGAAAGGACAATAGAAAGAAAAGTATTCAAGGAGATAGATGACGAAAGCTAGACAAGAGAGATTGTAAGTCATGATAGGCAATCCAAAATTAACAGTCTGACAAGTGAGGAGTAAGTATAGTCTAAACTGAGGTTTCAGCTGATATAATACGCAGAGTATTACGAAAAAAAAAAACATGAACAGGTGTGTAGCAGAAAAAAAAATATCATTAACCCAAAAACGTCGGATTTGAAGATTTGTCAATGTCAAAAGAACATTTAAATGAGATTCTAGAAAGTGGCAAAAAATAATTTTTAGTGGCGAATGTAAAATAGAGTTACATTCTAATGCAAGCTCCGATGAGCTGCTTGCGCTGGTTCCCAGACTTCATGAATTCAGGCGTCCTACGAGGCTGGCATCCCGCTCTCACCCTTTCACTGTCGAAACTGTTAAATGTAGCCATCTCTTCTACTCCAATAGCTTCATATCTCGCACCTCTCGCTTGTGGAACTCCCTTCCCTACTCCTGTTTCCCTGACAGCTATAATCTCTAACTATTCAAATGTAATGTCAATCGACAACTCTAGTTGCCTTGATCTATCCACTATCCTTCTCCTCATCCTTTCCTCTATCCCTCCTATCTGCTCTAGCTCCAAATCTTCTGTAACCCCTTGCGTACTAGTGGCTTCCCGCCTTGCTTGGGGTGAATCGATTAAAAAATAAGAAAAAAGAAAAAAGAAAAAAAAAGTAAACATGTAAGAAAACTAGTGGAAAAAAGAAACAGTGATAGATAAACCACAAAGACGATAAGATTTACTGGTGAAGTCAAGGTGTGGGGTTTGCATCAAAAATGATGGTCGAAGAAAATTGGCAGAAGTTTATGGAAACCTAAACAGCGAAAATTATATTAGCTTACTATAGCCTAGCACAATGGAACAATAGAATAACGGCTCGGATTGAGGAATCGGAAAGCCGAGTTCGAATTCCAGCCGAATCCATTACATTCACTTACGTGCTAATACCCTTGGGAACGGTATGAATCTTTTTCTTCTTCTTCTCCCCCCAGCTATGGGTAAATAGCATGATAGGACGTGTTCTATAGCCTTGTATGGCAACTGGTCTACTGTAGAAAGAAATAGTAACCTACTGCGGGGAAAAAATCTGCTTCGTCAGTCATGTATCGAAAGATACATGATCACCTAAGCGTGTATTACGCATAGCACATAACTGACTGAATCTCCTGTCAGACTACGAAAATGGAGACATTTTTCAGCATGACCCTTCCTCCTTGCCACACATCAGGTACAACAAAAAAGGTTTCTTTTGGATGAAGATATTCAACTTTTGGAAAACTAGTCAGCACAATGTCCTGATCTCAATATAACTGAACCATTCTAGTGGGAACAGCGAAAACCACCCAAGAGTTTTAGTATTAATGCCCAAAAGAATGGAAAAAACATTACAGATAAGAAGATCTGAGCCTTATTCCAGTCAATGCCACATTGAATTGAGATAATTATTCGAGCCCAAGGTAGCAACACTATTTACTAACTTTATACTTGGACATTTTGTATTTTCTGTAATAATAGATATAACTTTTAAAAACAAAAGAAAAAATAACCTTTTTAACGTAAGAAAAGAGCTGAAATTTTCGCTGGTGGCCCAGTATTTTTATATGACCTTTTTTCAGCAACATTATGCTTAAGATGCTCTCGCAATCACCATACAGCATTAATTAAAATCCAGTAATTGTTTTCTGGCCTTCAAAGAGAAAGGTTATACTGCTAATCACTTTCAATTTAGGAGTAAAATTAACAAAAATGACCCAAAATACCTCAATGTGTGTGTGTATATATATATATATATATATATATATATATATATATATATATAAATCTGTGTGTGTGTGAGAGAGAGAGAGGGGGGAAGAAGGAGGAATATTCACAAGTGCGTATAAGATCCTTTGAAAGCCAACCTCTCCAGCAGGTTACCATTGCTTGCAACTCGTGTTATCAAGTTCCTTTTTAACAGGATAACGTTGTGAACATGATAGCATTATGCTTTGGAGCCAGTGAGATCATCGTCTAAAACAGATCGTGTTGTCATCCTAAAATTTTAAAATGAGTACATCGGATTTAATCAGCATGGAGTAATTATCGCGATATATAGACAGCGACACATGTAGTTTAGATATCAACATGATTACATATCCATTTCGTCAAAATCCTCCCAAACTACTACTACTACTACTACTACTTAGTAGTAGTAGTAGGAGGAGGAGGAGGAGGAGGAGGCCTCTAATCCAAGTGGCTTGGACCTTGTATAGGGTGAACATTATTGTAAAAAAAAAAAAAAAAAAAAAACGAAATTGGAATAATACAACAGCTAATCGTACTGTCATATGAAAACAAAACGATGACATCGAGTTTGGGGAAGATGAAAAATGAAAATGAAATTGTCAGATCGTAATTACTGTGACCAATTGATATGCATCGGATATACAAGTTTTCTCCCTTGGAAATAAAGTCAACCAAAGATAAGTGTGTGTTTTTATTGATTCGTTTTCTACGGCTTATCAATTCTTTATAGATTATTTAAAGCCAGAAAATATTTTTTTTAGATTGAAAGATTTTTTTTTCTGAGATGGTAACAGCTTAGTGATAAAAGTCTAATTCATCCATGGCTAGGGGAAGAAGAACTGGATTCATACCTTTCCCAAAGGTATTTGCGCGCAAGTGACAAACCCAACGGGAATTCGAACTCCGTACTCCGATTAACAATTCTGAGCCATCATCCATTACACCACCCTCAGCACCTGGTATTCCCAAGCGGTCCCTCATCTAGGTACTGATCAGGCTCGACATTGCTTAACTTCGGTGGTCGTACAAGGTTTCAATGTGATTTGGCCGTAAACCTAGGATATGGGAGATTAGTTAGATCTCACCAGCAACTTAACTCTTTGTTTTTAAATTTCTATTCAAGATCTATCGTTCGGCACTGCTACTAAAACACGAAATACCACGAAAGACTCGGGAAATATTGCGAAGTACCCATAAATAGGTTACGTTATTCGCTGAAATACACTGCCCTTCAATCTAACTGTCGCAGATGCAATGCGCGCGTATTCAGGAAATAAAAAAATGATAAATCACTACAAAAGTGATAAATAAAAAAATTAAATAAAAAATATCTTACTTATATATATTGACAGATTGATTTGTTTTTACGGTTTATCAACTCTTGATGGATTATTTATAGCCGAAACATATTTTAGACTAGCAGTAGAGCCCGGCGTTACCCGGGGATGTAACAGTAAGAGATAGATCAAGTATCGACCATCGTGAAGACTGAAAAATAAAATTGACAAAGATTATTGTTTAAGGTTGACAAACACGCATGTCTTAATTAGTTTTTTTTTTTTTTTTTTTTTTACGAATTGGTCAAACTCAAACAAAAACATTGTTTTCAATCGTTATGAGTCTACCGATTGAAATAGAATTTTATTATAAACAATAGTCTTGTAAATGGAATTTTTAAAGCATTCTGAATGTAAAAATAAAGAAAAAAGTGTGCAAGACAATAAGAAACACTACCTGCCAAAAAAAGTGAAGTTTTGTTGAAATCGGTTGAAAAATGTAGGAAATCCGATCCCATATATAAACGTACACACACACACACACACACAAACAAACAACCTGGGTTTTATAATAAGTATAACTCGATATGAGTTGACCCCCTTTCATTCTGGCGACAGTGATGCCTCTTAATCGTGTTTTCAAATTGATTTCGTGCAAAAACAATTGTGTTTTTCCAATTTTTGGCGCTGTCAGAACCACCGCAAGGTAATTTTACGTAGTCCTGTGAAGTTTTGTTGAAATCGGTTGAAAAATGTAGGAAATCCGATCCAATATATAAACGAACAGACACACACACACACACACACACACACACACACGCACACACACATAACCTGGGTTTTATAATAAGTATGATTGAAAGATTTTTTTTTATTTTGAGAGCGAATATTGTCTGTGGAGGACTTACATTTTGTAGACCCTAAAGCGTAAGATAGATTCGAGGACCCAACTGCCAATATGTAAGTTATGAATAGATTCTAATGAGCTTACTGAGCCTATATATCTGGGGGTTCGGGCGCTGCTTAAGATTTGATGTGAGCTTGAGACCTTCCAGGAAAAGAGCCTCATTCAAAACTAGAGAAAACTCAGTCACTCCTCATCTCTGTGATGATGAAACGTTTCTAGAATGATTTTGGAAGTATTAAATCTTACAAATCAATTCTTCTTGAGCTGTTCAAGTAAGGTTAGAGGAGAGGTCAGTTGCCAGGTCCTGGCCATCTAGATTCGTGGTGGTGCCCCATAAACTGTGGTATCATTTGCATATATATTTACTAGTGATCTGAGAATGTTGACAGATCGTTAATATATAACCGAAAGAAGGTAGAGCCAAGGAGGACGTCTGTATTGATCTCAGATGATTTGTCATTACCAACGGCCTTCATGGACCTACCAGACAGGAAGGACTTGATAATCGAGATGACTCTCCCAGAAATGTTTCTGCAGCAACCGGCTATGCCATACATTGTCAACAGTCTTCAAGATATCTATGGAGAACACTCTCGTGGTGGATTTATCATCAACCGCTTCACTGATTCTATGCGCAATAACAGTTAAGACATCATCAGTGAACCTAGAGGAGCGAAACCCATATTATTTGTCGTTCGGTAGGTTGTTTCTGTTCAGGCGAGATTTATTTTGTAAAAAATACAAAATTGTGGCACAAGGCCGAAAAGGGGGAGGGGGTAAGGCTGGTCTTCACTAACTATCTTATACCTAGCTAATTTGATTCACGACCCATTCAGACATTACAGTTTACTCATTCACCATAAGAACTCGTCCGTCACCAATCAATCCTCCTTGTACCATAATACCACATCCACTCTAGGGAGACTTACAAAACGCGCCCCATGTCATAATGATCCTAACACATATGTACAAAAATTCTAAGATGAAAAAATGAGATGGGGGTGGGATGTGAACCCAATAACAAACTAAAATATTAACATAAATGAAAATAAAAAGTTAACTGATGTTAGTAGGGCCCTTCCAACCCTCAAAATGCAGGGAGACCACTGTATTCTGCCCATTGGAACAAAATCAAGCAGCTCTCTCGCTAAGGGAGGGGAAAGGTGATAAAAAAAAATCATACGGGCATGGGGAAGTATAAAGCTGACCCAGTCGAGATAGAAAGTGGGGGATCAAAAAACAAACTGGGAGGTTAGGGATCTCAGGCTGGATCATAACTAAAGATGTGGCCGGGGGCAGGCCTGGAACAACACTTACTCGCATTAACTAGGTACACCAAGGCTTGTCTAACCTAACCAAGGGAGGGCACCACAGGAAGCCACCCCGATGTAACGTAGGCTTGACCTAAAACAGAAAATCAAGGCTAGCCCCGTTCACACGAACCAAGCTCGCCTCAGTCACCCACCTTTCGCTGAAGACTGTCGAATGCAAGCGTTTTCTATCAGTTCTAATCTTTGTCTTGAGCTGATGCTCAAAGAATCGGATCAGATCCTGATGAGAAAGACGGTTACCCCGCAAGACTTCCTCCTCTCGTGTCGTCCATATCACCATTCGGGCCGTGGCTAGCAGCATGAGAAACACCATCCGTTTCACCCCGGAATACAGGGGGCGACACGTGTCACACGCGTATGCGCGATCCATGGGCACAAGCTTTTCGGGGCGAGACGAGCCGTCAGCTCGCCGACATGGTCCCATAAGGGGCGGACACGGGGGCAATGGAAGAATGCGTGCGAAGCCGTTTCCTCTAGACCAAGGCCACACCGATCGCAGTCTGGCAAGTCCGCCAAAAAATATATGAAGGCCATGTCGTTGAGAGGCAGCCGATTCCGAGCCAATCGCCAGGTAAGCGAAAACTCAGGGTTACTGAGGTAATCCGCCGCTGGCGCCCAAGACCAGTGAGAGCGAAACTCATCATCCGACATGTCGAGATCCTTGCGTGGGGATCCTTCGCGACCCCCTCCACTAGCGAACGATAGAATACCTTCCTAGGCCGAGAAAGGTCACTGGACCAAGGGACAGCCAAAAAGGCCGACCGGCACTCGCGAAAGAAAACCGATTGAATCCGGGGTTTACGACGGCGATCCACCCGCGAGTTTGGGGGACTGATGGTAAGGCGAGGGAAGGCGGCCCTCACAATCCCCTCAATAATCGGATCTCCACCTGTCAAAGCGCGGCGTAGGAAAGCCAACCTCGAGGCACTTTTGTGGCTCAGCAAGTGTGGCATTCCCAGCCCCCCATGACACGGACGTTGTGCACAGACTTCTCTGTCGACCCGATTCGCGCGTCTCCTCCATAGAATGGAGGTTAGCGCGCGCTCGAGCGGTATCCTGTGGTCGTCACAGAGAGGAAGTACGGACAATCGATAAAGGACAAGAGGGAAAATGTATGTAGCACACACCTCCGCCCTGCCCTTCACGGACAACCTCCGTCGACGCCAAGTCTGACCGGCGGCGTAGACCTTTGCTCGTACTTATTGACAACTTTATGAATAATAGGGCATTTCACTAGATGACAGTACCCATTCTGTGTTATTTTGCAACAATTCATATTTCGAGAATATTTCACGGTATATCATATTTTACTAAAGTATTTCTACAAATATGAGTACCTATGACCGCAGAGTCATTATCTGGGAATTGATATTTTAAAAGAGCAACTGAAATTAAGATGAAAAAAATACTAATAAAATGTAATCAACAATAAGACCTGTGATAAATGAATTTCCTTGCCTCGTGATAGATTAACTCTCTCAAGTAGAACAACAAAACCAAACATCAAATCTGTAAGTTGATGTACCACTACTCCGTTCCCGCGATGAATACTCTGTAAGTTATCCACACAGTGTAAAATACGAGTAGATATTGACTAATATTTCACGACACTTGTGTTTCTCTAATAAATATTCGCCAGATACTTGTGCACGATGTCTCCTCTTGTTCAGTAGGGGAGATTGGAATAAAACGGTAGGTCAGAAAATTCATTCAGATTATTTTTTTAATAAAAGAAGAGGAGGCGGTTGGAATAAACGGACAGTTTGGGATAAACAGACAGGTTGAACAAAAGTGGCGAAATAAAATAAACGGGGGATCTGGAATAAAAATGGGTAAGTTAAAAAAAAAAACCAAAAAAACCAAACTCAGAATTTAATTAGCCAGCCAGGCTCGTCTACTCCGGACGCCAGAACACATATATTATTTATTACGATGAGCGTTCTAATATGTTTTAATATGTTTATTGCCAGAAAAATTATGTTGCTTAATCGAATTCTTTCCCACGCATATCACTTGAAGTTTGAATGTAAAAAATATGTTTTATTTTCAGAATGTTTCTTCTTGCAAGCCATTACGCGTTGACGTCAGAAAATTATTTACGTTGTAAAATTTAAATTTAGAAACAAGTTACCTATTTAAAACAGACAAGAAACAGATCAGTTGGAAGAGCTCTTAACCACTATCAAGAAGAGGAAGTCAAAATGGTAAGGCCGCGCCTAAATCTTTACACGACCATCCCACAAGATACCACCATATGCAGCAGAAGAAGATGCAGACAGGAGGAGGAAAAGGGCTAAAAATGTCACGGGGCGGGAGGCACTGGAAGGTCCTTAGGTAAATACATCGATATTGACACGCAACTGAACCGGAAAGGAGAGGGAACTGGTCAGGTGCCCAACTGCTCGACGGCCCTAAAACAGCGCCCGGTCAGGACATGGCACTGATGATGATGACCAGCGGTTACATATAAGAACATGCTTCGCCTCAATAGGAGAAAGAAATGTTTAACGTCTCCTGTCAATACATCATAAATA